GCGATGGCCTTGCTTGTGTAACTATATCACTATATCCTCGGCATCGCTCGGAGGTGTGCAATTTTTTTGGCGAGGCCCATCGAGGAGCATCTTGGCTGATCTTGCGAGAAGACACACGCACGAGATCGGAAAATGCATGGGGAATGGACGTCCGAGCGATGGCGAGTATCACGCGCTCCACGCGCACAGAGGAGGCGTCAGTGGCTCAATGTGCTGTGGCTCTCCTCACGGGGTAAGCAGGGTGCGCCTTACCCGTCAATTTGGCCCAGCGAGCCTAGTATATCTCATGGGAGAAAAATCCGGGGCAGGCTTGCCCAATAGGGGGTTGTCCGGAGGGGTTGTCCAGATCCCCGCTGGAATGTCCAAGCGGTGGTCCGGGATAGGTCGCCTTGTCGTCATAATCAGCATTGGTTGTCCGGGTTGTCCGAGGAGTTGTCCAGGGGAATGTTTGGTGATCGGATTTTTCTCCATTGGACACAGTAACCGATCGGCCCGCAGGCGCAAGTTTTTGCTCGATGCGTAGAGACGTCAACCAGCTCGCCTCAGGTTCGCACCGCGCTGTCAATTCAGCTTGGAGTCTGTGGGCTCTGTACACACTATTTCCGTGAACGCTACGTTCTGTTCGCTCTGCGTGGGCAGAGTTTGAGAGCGACTTTTCCGCACGGAGTTACATGGCATCAGCTTCATTGAATTGCCTGCATTACCTGCAGGTTGCTCGCCTGGTCTTTCTTGTCATAAAGAGTCTTGCGACTTCCTGTTTCAGGGCCTGTGGATTTCCCGGTTGAGATGGCACACTCAGTTGGAGAGTTGGCCATGCACTCGGTATGCGAGGCTCGTCGCCGCATGCGCCTCATCATGATCCTCGCCCTTGTACTGCTCTTGGCCAAGGGGGTGTTTTCTGGGTGCCAGAGGTAGTACGCAGGCATCGCAAGCGTGTGTTGGCAATTGAAGAGGGCGGTCTAGATAAGTCAGAAGGCTCTCTTCAAGAAGGACCTCTTCAAGAAGGAGGACATAAGGAGGACGAACACACGCGGCCAGCAGAAGGGGGAGGGGTGAGAGAAAGGGAACGGGAATGATAATGAGAAGGGTTGGGAGGAGGTATTACCAGGGGGATGGATGAGGGATGAAGGAGATATGTCCATGATTTCGTCGGTGGCTCGGCGACGGCGTGGGGAATTTCAAGTATCTCTGCAGGGCGACGGCTTTGCTGGCAATCTCTCCATCCTTGTTTTGGGCGGCCTGTGGTGGGATGCTCGCAGTTTCCTTTTCGATTGCCTCTACGAGGGAGGTGTTTGCACATCAGCGTCAATCATCCCAGGGGGAGGTGGGACGGACGTTTCCCCATCCTGTTCACAGGGCAGGGGATGGCACGGGCACCTTTGCCGAGCCCTCTTCGAGAGGTAGGGCAATGTGGTGGCGCATCTCCACATGCCCTGCTAGGCACTCCTGGTTGCCAGCCCACCTCCGCGTTCCTGTTTGGGATGGTCGTGTCTCCGTCCTCACCATCCGATCCAGATGAGATGTGGGCAGATACCGGCTCTTCTGCCTGAGGGCAGATGAGGTTGGACAGACGCTGAGCCGTCTCCTGAGGAGGAAGCGTGCTGGCACAGCCACCCTCCCGTTCTCTTGTGGGAGGTTTGGTGGTGGCACGGACGCGCATACGTTGTCTTTCTCTTTCTCTCTCTCTCTCTCTCTCTCTCTCTCTAAAGAGAGAGAGAGAGAGAGAAAGGTTGCAATGTGGACACTCCCCCTTTCTAAATTGAGTGGACTGGTGGTGGATCGGGCGTGTCTCCAATCCCGTAATTTGTTCCACAGGGGAGGGTGGTGGACGCCGATTGCTTCTTTCTGAAAGGAGATTGGGCGAGACGGACACCCTTCCACCCACACCCACCCACAAGGGTTTGTAATGGTAGAGAAGAGATGAGACAAGATAATATTTATCATACGTACATAGAGAGAGACACACACAACACATACGGACAGAGAGAAAGAGCGTTAGAGAGAGAGGGAGAGCGAGACCAAACACATTGAAACATGTAGAAAGAGAGAAAGAGAGAGAGAGAGAGAGAGAGAGAGAGACAGAGAGAGAGAGAGAACAAAAAAACAAAACAGAGCGACAGAGAGACCGAAGGAGAAAGAGAGATAGAGGGAGAAAACAGAGAGAGAGAGAGAGGAGGATGAGAAGGAGGCGGAGCTGGAGCAGGAGGAGGAGGAGGAGGAGCCGGAGGAGAAGGAGCACGATGAAAATGACGAGCTTTGGCGGACGTGGTGGCGGCAAGACAACGTTGTTATCGCCGTCCACGCCACCTTTCTCCGTCGGTGGCCTGCGCCCCCTCTTCGGCCGCTCTCTGTCAAAAGCTGCCGCTGGCAGCTGATCGTACTTTGGCCGCGGCCTTCGGGCTCGGACTGCCGCTGAGGGGGCCACGTCAATGATGATGAGGAGGAGGAGGAGGAGGAGGGGGAGGAGGGTGGAAACGCTGTGATGGTGATGCTGGTACTGACGGTGCTGATGATGGTGATGATGATGATGATGTTGATGATGATGATGATGATGATGATGATGAGGTTGAAATTGAGGTTGAGGTTGGTGGTGTTGATGTGGATGCTGTTGGTGATGCTGACACTGGCGATGCTGATCATGATGATGATGACGATGATGATGATGATCGTGATGCTAATGAGGACGACGACGATGGTTGTGATGATGATGAGCGATTCTGGTGATGCTGATGATGGTGATGACTGGTGACTAGGATCCTAGGGATGACGGTGGTGATGATGTTGGTGTTCATGGTGTTGATGTTCGTGTTGATTACGGTGACGATGGTATTGACGATGATTATGCGCATCATGATGATCAACATGTTGAAGATGACGGTTTTCATGATGGTGCTGATGATCATGGTGTTGATGAGGAAGGTGATGATAATGACGATGATGTTGGTGTTGATGATGATGATGATGATGGTGATGTTGATGATGATACTGGTGCTGCTGATGATGCTGATGAGGGTGCTGGTCATGATGATGATGCTGAGGATGATGATAATGATGATGACGATGATGATGACGATGATGATGATGATTGTAAAGGTGAGGATGTTGATGGTAATGATGATTATGATGCTGCTGGTGATGACGATGCTGATGATGATGGTGATGGTGATGATGATGATGATGATGATGATGATGATGATGATGGTGATGACGATGTCGATGATGAGGCTGATGATGATGCTGCTGATGTTGATGCTGATGATGATGATGATGATGATGATGATGATGATGATGATGATGATGATGATTATGATGATGGGGCATGCTCGGTCCCACGCGCCCTCGTCGCTGCCGCGCGCCGCGGGCGGCTTTATATCCTCCGCGCCTTTGCCCGCGCTCCCCCCTCGCTCCCGCCCCTGGTGCGCCCCGAACGCAGGACCGGCACCATGACCAGGGGCCGTAGAGGAAATCAGGGCATAGATATCAAAATTAGGGGAACGAAGAACGACATAAACACGAAGTGGTGGAGGACCCCGACCAAGTCCCCTACCTCCTTCCACTGCTCCTCTCGGAGGGCCCGGCCTGGGCCGTCCTCCGCCCCGTCCTCGCAGGGGAGCGAATAATGACATAAACATAAGAACTCGGGGGTCCGCGCGGATTTCTCGGAGCGGCGCTGGACCCCCCTCCCTGGCGCGCGGAGCGCGCCAGGGGCGGCGCCGGAGGCGCCGCCAGGGGGTCCAGTCCGGATCCGAGAAATCCGCGCGGACCTCCGAGTTTGTACGTTTATGTCATTGCTCGTTCCCCTGAAGACTTCGAGCAACAACAAATCACTGGTTGGGAGGGTCGGGCTGGGAGAGATGACCAGGTCATCCATAGCATCTAGCCTGACGCAGGTGTTTGTGTTATGATGCTCCAACCGATTTAGGTGTGTTTTGTTTTGTGACGCAAGTGTTATGTTTTATGACCTGTGTTATGACGCAGGCGTTTTGTTTTTCTGGGATGCGGCGCTTAAGTACGATGGGAGCAATATAAGTTTTGTTGCACATTCGTGCGCTGCATCTTCCCAGCCCGAAAAATCGCCCTCTGGGGGCAACGGGTCCTCAGGGAAACAGGCCCCGAGGTTTCTCTCACCGTTTTCGGGCTCTCAGGGCCCTCCACGGGCCTCAGGACCGTCAGAAAACGACTCAGGATGAATGATGGGCCTGTTTTCCACAAGCACCACCACCATAAGTTGGAAGGCGAGTGGGTCCTCCTCCTCCTCCTCCTCCTCCTCCTCTTCGTGCTCCTCCTCCTACACCTCCTCCTCCTCCTCCTCCTCCTCCTCCTCCTCCTCCTCCTCCTCCTCCTCCTGATCCTACACCTCCTTCCCCCCTCCAACTTATGGTGGTGGTGGTGGTGGAAAACAGGGGAAAACAGGCACATCAATGAAGAGTTCTTCCTGGGGGAAGGCCCAATGGTCCAGGACCAGTTTCCCTCAGGAACCGTTTCTGCGCTCTGCGCGGATCTCTTGGATCTGCGCTGGGCCCCCCTGGCGGCGCCTCCGGCGCCACCCCTGGCGCGCTCCTCGCGCCAGGGAGTGGGTTCAAAACGCCGATCCGAGAGATGCGCGCGGACCTCCGACAGTTTATGCTTATGCCGGCTGCTGCTTCTCTAGAGGGGGAGGGAGGACGTGGGGGAGGCAGCAGGAGGTAGGAGGAGGAGGAGGAGGAGGAGGAGGAGGCGGAGGAGGAGGAAGGTCACAGGCCACAGGATACGGTTTCCATCAGGGCTCGCTTCTTTCATGACGACTTCAGTCCCGTCGTTTCCCGGATCAGTGGATCTTCGGGGGCCTACCGTCCTATTTTCGCTGTGCCACTCTCGCACGGGCGGGCGTGCGCGAGAGCAGGACGTCGGGATCTTTCTTCGACAAGTTTAGAGTGCAGGGTCGTCCGTCTCGCGCGTCCCCGTGGTCCTTCACATCGATGAAGGATTCGACCGAGCCGCGACTGCCGCGAGCTCCACGA